GTCTCACTCGTTGACTGTCAGACACAGGGAGTTAGCCTCGCTGATCTTTAAATTCTCTTCCCATCACAGCACCCAGTCCCCTGAGATGGATCCACTGAGGCAACAGGCCTACATTCAGGTTTGTAGAGAAGCAGAGAGATTGCTCCTAATAAGGGATATTATCCTCTGAGTCTATATTACTTTTTACCTTCCTGTTCAAAACTTTAAAATATCTTTCCTTTGAGCTGCAGATCACTTAGTACTTGGCATATATGAGAAACTCAATAAATGTCTCAAGTCAAGGTCTGTGTGCTGAGCAGGTTATGTTGACTGGGCCAAGGTTTTCTATGAAACCTCATTTCTGGGGAAACTGGAGGGACACGCTTCCCATTTCAACCCTGAGTGGGTGGAGATCTAATTATTTATTTATTATTTATTTTTAGGTTTCATGGTAATGGATATAGACATGGATTAATACTTTATCTATAGCCTGTGTGTATATATAGAATATTTACTTCTGGGTGATATCAATACCAGGAATTTGATTTAGACCCTCTGAAACTGGCAGCATCTCTTAAACTACTGAAGCTACTTTGTGACAGAATGCATTTTTCAGCTGCTGTAATGTGATGTTAATACAGAACCGGAAATCTACTCAGCTCTGGTCCAGTCGGAGCAAATGACTGAGGGCACCAAGTTTCCACTCTGGAAAATTCCATTCATGACAAAGATGGCCAGACAGTCCTCAGCCACTCATCTCGATGACTATTACCGGCCATCAGCTTCTCCCTGATTCTGCAGAGTAGACTTATTTGCACAATAATCTAATCACATGCTTTCCTTTGACTATATTGATGTATATAGTTCAGTCCACAGACCACACGAATTTGGCAGTGTTACACCATGCACACCTCTTATTAATGCCTCCTTTTCTTTTGGCAAGGTGAAAAAGAAAAACTTTATCTATAAAACTTTTTTTAATGAGTTTTTCTTTTCTTTTTTTTTTCCAGCTTTCCTCTAAATCTAGAAAGCCATTTGTGGTAAAGTTGTGGCATTTATTTATTTATTAGTTATTCATATTGGGTTTGATGTGATTTTAATCAAGTCTCCAAAGTTCAGAACAGGATTCAGAACAGGACCTCAGGGGAAAGGAAGTGTGTAAAAAGTTGACATGTTTACCTGATAGCTTATTTATCATGGGTCCTTAGACTCACTCCGCTCAGGCTATTTCGTATAAACGAATCCAAATGTTCATAGGGCTCCTTAAGACAGTGATATTCAAGGTGCTGGTCCACAATGAGATAAGGAGCTTGTCAGAATCAATGTTTTGCTTCCTTCACTAAGACAGTTTTGCTCCTAGAAAAAGTCATCTTAGTGCCATGCATACAACCAAACCCCCCTCCCTCAGACCCCGGCCTTTTAATTTCAGAATAAGTAGCAGCCCAGTGATTCTTCAGCTTAGGCGAGCAACTGAACCCCTCTGTGCCCCGGGCCCTGAAGATGAAGGCACTGGAGGGTGGAGAGGGAGCTGTGTGCGAGGGGCGTATCCAGGATGACAGCAGTGAGGGGCAGAGGTGGCATAGGCTGACGGCCCCCTAAGGAAGACACTTTATGAAAGCTGGGCTCTAGCAGGAGGGAGAGAGAGCCAGAAATCAGGCACGAGGGCCCCGAACTACCTACGGGTGGCTTCCATTTGGGAGGGCTGCAGGGGAAAGGCATGGATGTCCTGGGGGCATCACCAGGCTTCATTTGAGTCAAGGGACTAAAGGGAAATTTAGGGAGAGCTCATGGATGACAGGCAGCAATCCCAGAAGGCCCCAAGGAAAGGTCTGTGAGGGGGCTAAGGGGTGAGCATTGACTCAGCCTGGGGCACTTATGAGCAAAGCTGGGATGAGAGGCTGGATAAGGAAAGGACACCCTAAGGGGGTCCCGAGGACTTCTGGTGGTGACTGCAGGGCACAGGAAATGGGGCAGGTGAGGATAAGTTCTGATGCTCTTTGGAAAATGAGAAGAAATTCTTAGCTCAGGTTAGTTGTCCTTCCCACTCCTGACACCTCAGGGAATTGGGCAGCTTGATTGCCTACGTACTCAATAAGGTGGTTGTCATTGACTGAAATCATACGATTAAACAGAGTTTGCCTGTGGTCTTTTATAATTCAGCACATTTTTCAACAAATATTTTATGGCACCAACTGTATGCAAAGTACTGTGACACCCTGTCAGGAATGCAAATACAAGCACAAAATTGTTACCTGTGTCCCTGAGTGGCTTTCAGTCTTATAAAAGAGAGATTAATTCTGTTTGGGGAACATTGGCAAAAGGCCACCATTCATCTAACCTATTATTTCCCAAGCCAACAAAGTAAATGGATACAAACTAGCCATTTCTTAAAGAAAAGGTGCATTTACTGCTTTCACTGTCAACATGGGAAAACTGGTCGCATCAATTTTAGTTTTGGAGATGCTGAAATTTTGTCTTTAGCCATATAGCTTTATAAACTATTTCTTACTGACTTTTTCTCCTCCTTGGAAATTAAAAAAAAAAAAGAAAAAAGAAAATTTAAATCAAATTTAAAAAATAGTTAAAGACTTGCCTTGATCTGGTTAGAGTGTAAAGTAAATCAAGTGGCTATTTAATTCCCAGTGAACACATGACAACCATGGAGTTAAATATTAGATTTAAATGGGGCAGCTAATTCTCTGCAAGAATTCCATTTGTCTCTTTATATGGGTGCTCTAACTAATGAACACATTTCTCTCCTTTTCAATTCGGGCGTTGCTACCAGAGCACGAGATATTAATATACATTCTTATATTCATTAATGTTGCTCATAAAAGACCTTTGATTTTTATCACCCTGGGTTCCCAGAGGCCCGTGGAAACTATCATTGCTTCAAACCACATGAAGCAATGGGAAAATCCTATTAAAGTGAAACCTTAATCACCACTTGCATTTTATATCATTTAGTATCTAAAAAGAAACTGTATAGCATCTTCATCAACATAGAATGGGTGAGCACATGGTGGTATAGCCCTTCCACAGAATATTCTAAAGCAGTAAAAGCAAAAGAATTACTACTTCACACACTGTAACCCAATAAAACTCAATCTCAAGGACATTGTTGAATGAAAGGTACAGTATAGGGAAGAATACATACAGTGTGATTCCATGTATGTAGGTTCAAAACCAGGCAAAGCCAAGCAATGTTTTGTTAAGGATATACCATTAGTAGCCAATCTAGAAAGGACATGATTGCCACAAATTTAAGATAGCATTTATCCCTGGGATGGGGTAGGGAAGTGAATACAATCAAGAAGGAACACAGTGGTGCTTCTGAGCACTAGTGATTTTCTGTTTCTTAAATGGAAAGTTGGTTGTATGGGCATTCATTGTATTATTATTTAAACTGCAGAGATATGCTTTGCATTTTCTTTTGTTTTTATAATGTGGTTTGCAGTCAAGAAAAAAGTTTTAAAGAAAGTTTATCAAATTAAACCACAGTAACAAATCCTTTCTCTGTGCTAAGCACAGGCGGTAACAGCAGATAGACGGGGCTTGTCTTAGCCTTGGGGAGTTTACAGATGAGAAATAATTGGGGGATAAGTCAGAGTTTAACTGAGCACAAGCCATGATATAACATGAGTCCAGAGGAGGAGGTCTCTGGTGGTCAGAGCCATCCTGGAAAACTCCCTGAGAGAGTGAGGATTTGAACTGCCTTTGCAGGGTGAGCTAAGCAGGGAGGAAGCTGGGGTACTAGTTTTACTTTTTACTGCATTACTTATATATTTTAATTTCTCTTGCCATGCTTAACACAATCTACAGTTGAATAGAAACTTTATGGTGTAGAAGAAAAACCATGGACTCTGGATTAAGACAGACCAGGGTTCAAATCCCAACTCCTCCATTCCCACACTGTGGGCCATTGATATTCCTGCAGACTCAGTTTCCCCATGTGTAAAATGCAGAGAAGAATGCTTCACAGGGTAGTGAGAGAGAAATGAGAGAACATTATTGGCCACACATTCCAAGCCCTGAGGAAGCGTTTTAATACTGCCATTCAGCCATGAGGAGTTCAGAAAGGAATGGTGGCCAATGACCTGGCTGTCACCCTGTGCTCAGGGAGTTAATATTGATATGCTGGTAAAGAGACACAAGCTCGCTCTGCTGTTCCATCCTCTGCAATCCCCTTTCGGGCTCCTCCACTGGCTCTGCCCTGAGTACTGCTTGGCTCTGCTTTCCACCTGCAGCTAAAGGGCTTCAAAGGGCCTTTGCTTCCTGCCTTGTTCCCCCAGAAAGGCAAATGGATGAGTGACAAGGGCCTGCTCTGCCCTAAACTGAGGGGAGAAATATTCTCTCCTTCCCAGAGGCATTTATTCTTGTCTCTTCTTGGCTTTGGAGAGCTAAGACTATGGCATGTCTTAGAAAGAGACTAAGGAAGGCAGCCTTGAGCACAGTCTAGACATTTCTGGTCTGAACAAAGGGAATTATTGGGGATCAACCATGGGCTAGCCCACACACCAGGAAGCCCAAACTGGGATGAAGACAAAGCTTTAATTCACAGCGCAGGTCTTGCATTTTCCCTCGGTGTCCTCTGAGCCTCTCTCCCTCAGGAGCCTGAGGCAGCTTAACAAAGAATTAGGGATTCCTGTCTATCTCTCCACTTTTCCCCACCAGACACACAACTGACAAATATATGCACAGCATCTGGCTTGTAAGAGGGCTGCCATGAAGGTCTGTTTCTTTCTCATTCCTCCCCTTTCCTAGTCTGTAAAGTCCATTAATGACCTCTGCAGCCAACAGCTAAGTCTACTTTAGTTCTATCAGAAGCAATAAATGAGCTCTGGAGAGCAAGTCGATGGCACCGTCTCCCCGCCGTGTGGACTTCAAGGGTGGACACCGGGCTTCTCCTCTGCTTTGCTGGGTGCAGAGAAGAGCTCAGGATTCAGGTCCCTGACTCCCCACCCTCTGCCTTCCCCTCTGTGCACTTTGATTCCAATTTCCATTCTCTCTTTCTTTTACAGTTGTTCAGCACATCAAGCGACACAACATTGTTCTGAAAAGGGAGCTAGGCGAAGGAGCCTTTGGAAAAGTTTTTCTAGCTGAATGCTATAACCTCTGTCCTGAGCAGGACAAGATCTTGGTGGCAGTGAAGGTAAGAGAACACTCCAGAATGTCTTGTCATCCACAGTCTTAGGAATGTGTGGAAGTGTTACTTTATTTTGTTTTAGTCGCCAATTCAGGCGCAAATGATGTCTGCTACGAAAGATGTGTTCAAACTCTTTTAACTAAGTGGACAGTGGGAAGGATATTTGGGGCACATGCAACCGTCAAAGGTTCTCTTTAGGGGACAACCTACCAGTCTGAAGGCTGTGACTAATCTGGAGGGAGGTCGACGCGGTCAGACGGAATTCAGTCAGCTAAGTCTTGGGGACCCAGCCTGGCTCCTTGGATTGCTCGGTGCTTGTGCCCGGCTCAGGCGCATCTGTTCTCACGTCGAGGTTCTAGAAAGGAGACCGTGGAGTTCACGCCCTCTCTCAGCCTCTGTCCCACTGAGATCTTCTGCTATATCTTACCTTGTCCCTCCCAAATGTGTCCAAAGCCCCAGGATTTTATATAGTGCAGATGTGATTTCATCCTGGGGTGGATAGAATTCCTTATAGATTTTGCCACCCTGGCAAATACAAGGTTTTACTAAAGTAAAGAAGCTTGAAAGTCCTTTATCATAGCCATTTTCTCAGAAACTCAAAAAGGAGACCTGGTCTCCAATAAGATAAACATTATTGAAGGGGATAAAATTTCCGCTGAGCTCCCTAAGACACAAGAATTAACAAAAATAACAAAAAACTCTAGATATTTTACCTATGCATCATCAAATTAAAAATAAAACTCACCAAGGTATTGAGTAACATGTAAAACACCTAAAAGAGGCAAATATTGATAAAATGAATTAAGTGGCAAGTGTTATGGACATGGCCAATGTAATAAAATGCAACTCTTTGGCTTTATATAAGATGATTGAATATTGGTTTTTTGTTTCTTTGTTTCTGCCAAACACAGAATATTTGTATAAATGGCATTTGTTTACTAGTTACAGCAGCTCAACTTAAGTTTTTAAAATCAAATGTATATTCCATTACTGTTTTACTTAGTGTTAAAACACTTCAGTATATACAAAATGGGTAATTGAGGGGAGAGATAAACTTATTCTTGAACTTGCCCAGCCTGCAGACTAAACACAATATCTGTTAAAGTCCATCCGGAAGAAAACTGCATGTTTATTTTTTTCATCATCAAAAGTTAAGTAACCCAAGTGGCATCAGTTCTCCTAGACCTAGACTCTCAGGAAAGGCTCCTAAAACCTGCACTTTGGGGTGAATAAAGGTCAGACCTTTTTAGGGATTATAAATGTAATAACTATCGAAAAAGCATTATCTCACTCAGATCGGCAAACAGGAGGTGGGGTGAGACAAAGGAGGAAAGAGAGGACAGGAGATATGAGAGAAAGGTGAGGTCACACGGGTTAAGGTGCAAAGTAAGAATCCTGCAGTGACTTTGGGGTGTTGACTCCCTGCTGCTGCAATTGCTTCCCCTTTTCTTTCATTTACTCAAAAAGTTTGTTATTTTTTAAGCACAAAATGTTCAGAACATTTGGCAATGTTAAATCTGCAGTCTTTACTTCATTCTTTTGCTATCTTATTTTTTCTCTCTTTGGATAAATAAGACCAAAAGGTGCCTCTATTTTTGTAGATTCATAGGCTGATAAAATGTTAGCACTGAAAGAAGTTTAGGGAACATCTAATTCTAATCTAGCCACATGTTATAGACTAAGGAGACTAAGACCATGGATTTATGTTCTGGCCCATGTTTCCCACTGCTATTTGGGGGCCACTGGGGAGCTAAATCAGGCTTTCAGACTGAATTCACTTCATGGGGTGACATGTGAGAAATTTTAAATGTGAGAAAATCCTGGGAGATTAGGAAATCCTAGGTGACGGTGGAGGAGTAGCTGAGAGACCTCAGACAGGTGTAGAGATGGATGGACATTTCTTGGTATAACTTTTCATCTTAATATAATTCCTTATTCTATGCCTGCCTCTCTGTACTTCTTGAAAAGCCCTTAAGGAGAGGTTGTTGCATAGCTAAGTCCAGGGCACCCTCAACTCATATGTTACATATTCTCCCAAACACATGCTAAGATAGGACATTAGGGGCTAGTAATGACAAAGGGGTAGTCAGTGACAGCAATGTAGCCAGTTGTCCTGCCCACAGCGTGCTTCCACCTGCGCATATCTCTTATCACCATCCAATCCGTTGCTGCAATTCCATATCTGGAGGGCCCAAACCAGCCCCTTAGTCCACACAACTCCCACTAATCCATCAGCTCTTGGTGCAAGGTGCTCCTCCAGGGGAGACTTCCCCTTGCCAGCTCCCCCATCTAGGTCAGACCTCCCTATTATATGGTATTAAGTCATCTACACTTGCCAGCGAGGCTTCTCTCTTGTTTAAATCCCATTCACAGCCCTGATTCTACCTCTGACCCAAACACAGAACCTAGACCTCATGCACTTCCTGGCTTTGCCAAATAAGTGTTTGCAAATTAGTGACCTATGAGAAATGTTTGCTCTTTAATCAACACTGCTAAGCAAAACAAAACAAAACAAAACAAAAATGGATTTGCCCCATTTGTATCATATCCGGACTCCTCTTTGCTAGTCCCCTTCTTGAAATTCAAATGAAACTATTATCTCAAGTAGAGTGGACAAACTGCCTACAGCTTGAAAATTCATTCCAACTTCAAGGTTGCACACCTAAGAATTCTTGTCTCACTGACCTTGAATGTGCATTTTGTTGGAATCAGAGGGCTTGCCTGTGTTTGCTAGAATGACAACAGGCTTCTGAGAGGATGCTCATTTTAACTTCTGGGATCCAGAGGCTACAGCCATACAAGGAACAAGTCCTGTCTCCCACAGACTCCGGGATGAACTGGATCAAAATGACACATGGACCTTTCCCGGAGCTGCCTTTCACCAGGCTGACCTAATCATTTTTAGGGCTGTGGGCTAATTGGGAAAGTGTTCAAGGACTATCTGATGAGCCTGAAAGGAAGATTCTATTGGCTCAGCCCTGATCAGAAGAAAGGGATGTTTATAAGGAATGAAACAAACTGGACACAGCGTCCAGAGCCTGCACAGCCCGGCACCTCTCAGGAGTGGCTGCCAGGCTGCTCTTCCATGGGAAGCACCCAGGGATGTTTGACAGCCTTTCTGCCCGTTGCCTAGCAACTCTTGCAGCATTGATTATGCATGCTAAGAAACAGCAGCTATTGTCCTTTCCCCTTCTCTAGAAGGAGCTGACTGGCTTGAAATCTAAGGCTTTGCATTCAGAGTGACAGATATCAGGTTCCTGGAAATTCTGGTGTCCCCTGCTCCAAGTGATTTAAAAGCTGGAGGAGTCCACAGGAACCAGTTTAAGATGGGGGTGATGCTCAGGCATGTGCAGGGCACTCAAGGGCACATGGAGGCTGAGCTTGCCTCTCCCATTAGAGTGTCTGCTTGTTTAGAATCAACCGGATTGCCCTTTTCTTGATATTTTTGGATGACCTTTGTTTTTTTAGTGAAATGGATTCATCAACCATATCTCCCTTTACACTGAATTTCAATTGAAGAACCAACAGAGAGGATGAGAAGTCTGTGATTAAAATGAGTTACTTTGCCTTTAAGTACTTCAATTGCCAAGGAAACGCTTCACTGTAGGTTTCCTGCATTGGATGCATTAGCTATTTTTGTCGCTATCCACCCTCCATTTCAATAGCTACAATTCCTACAACATTTTTTTGTATTATGAATGCATGTTGATTTTTGTTTTTTAAATATAGCTACAAGTGTTGATGGATTGATGGCCTCGTCTCCCCCTCCACTAACTTAGGTGTATTCCTAGAAACATCACATGCTGAATATGAGAGANATAGCTACAAGTGTTGATGGATTGATGGCCTCGTCTCCCCCTCCACTAACTTAGGTGTATTCCTAGAAACATCACATGCTGAATACGAGAGAGACCATAAAAATCACACACACACACACGCACATATATATATATATATATCCCAAATCTCCTGTTTGATAAATGAAAAAACTAAGACCCAGGGAAGTCAAGTGGCTCCCTCAAGGTGTAAGTTAAAGTGAGTAAGAGGTGCTGTGAAGGAAGACTTGGCGAGATAAAAAATAGCAGAATCTAAGTTCAGCAGGCACTTTCTTTGAGATCTAACTTAGGATTTTTGGGTTTTGTGTTCCTGCATATCTTCTTGTCGGCACAGGGAATAATGATGGTTATCTTCACCAAGAACTTTGTTAGAGTTGATGGATAAGCCCTCTGGCACATTATCATGAGGCAGCCACAAGTACCATCCAATTCATTGCTGCAATTCCATGTCTGGAGGGCCCAAACCAGCCCCTTAGTCCACACAACTCCCACTAATCTATCAGCTCTTGGTGCAAGGTGCTCCGCTAGGGGAGACCTCTCCTTGCCAGCTCCCCCATCTAGGTCAGACCTCCCTATTATATGGTATTAAGTCATCTACACTTGTCCTTTATAACATTTGTCAAGGTTGTTAATTATATAGGTATTCATGGACTTATGTAATCAATGGCAAGAATGTCTATATCTTCCATTAGAGTGGTATATTCTTGAATGTGGGAACCATATCTTTTAGCACATAGCCTAATGTGTAGTAACATGCAGTAAATGCTTGTTAAATAAATGAAGGGATGGACAGATGGATGGACAGGTAGACTACAGATAAAGTAAAGAGTTGGCAGTTAACATTTCTAGGTAAGGAAACTATTTGATGAGCTATTGACAGTCATAGAATTTTATAGCTGAGAGGAACTGTAAAGAGAATATGTATAGAACAATGTAATCTAATGAAGGATCATCTTAGAAATCATCAAATCACTGTACAGATACATAGACCTCTTATTGCTATTCTTTAGCTTAATTCTCGCATTTTGCCAATGAGAAAAAAAGAACCCAGAGAAGATAAATGACCTACCCAAAGTCACACAGTTTGAATGAGGTCATTTAATGTCAACCCTAGGACTAAAACTCAGGTCTCCTCATCAGATGCCCATTGTGGACCACACTTTTATTTAT